AAACAAGGAAGGCTTCATTATATTGAATGTTGGGCTTTTGTTTCTTGAGATTTGTTGTTGTGTGGAAATAAGAGGATGGAGGGATCTATTTATAGATCTTACTACTACCAAAAGGAGGGGCAGTTTCGATATTTACCGATGCAAGTTGAAAAAAAAAAATTGAAGATATACCACGTTTTGGAATAGGCACAGGAGCGTGAACTCTAGACTTGCAGCTTGGAATCCAAATTATGGAAGCAAGATGAGGAGATACATTTTAGGTGAGGCAGACCTATGAAAGGTAGACTAGAAATAAGTTTGGGATAATAGAAGGGACTAATATTTTACAATATAACAATATCTGTAAGGAATAAAAATTTACGTATGTGTGGCCTTTATAGTTTAAAGAGAATTTATGCATAGAAGTATGTATTTCGGACCGATAGGAATGAGTGTAGTACAAGGGATTAGATTTTTACAATGAGGCAGATTAAGATTCTAATCTTTTTTGGGAAGGGTGCCCATATTTAGGCTTTGTTTGGATGGAGATAAAAGTGAAAAAAAATAGGGAAAGAAAGAAAACTATAAGGGAAAATTTTCTAAAATAATAATTTTTTTAATTATTTTCGGAAGTTTCACCCCGTAGTTTTCTCTACCCCTTATTTTTTCTCCCCATCCAAACTAAAGATTAGTGCTCGACCAACCTTGATCATGATAATACATGTATGCAATAATAATAAAAAATGAAGCATGTATTTATGAATTACTTTTCAATAAGATTTCAATTTAGTAATACTGGCATTCATTATAAGAGTAATTTGTACCAAAAATTTGGGATAAAAAACAAATGGGTAAAATTTTGAAAGGAATTTACCAACCATTGAAGGTTCTTAAGGTGCATTGCACATATGTAATTGAGCTTAAAAAATTATCAATGCAAATACTTCAAGGCCTCTTAAAACACTATTACAGATCAATAATGGCTGGGCTTGAAGCATTGACCAATTTTATGGTAATCAGGCTTTTGGGTTTGCAGCCATATGGGTTGAGCCTGCCCATTTATAGACTCTAGAATTGAGTCTAGCAAAAGGGGCTAGTTCCTCACAATGTAATAAATAAATATTTAAATCTCTATTATGAGAAGTGCTCATATTTAATACTTGATTGTATTTTAATTAGGATAATACGTATGCAATAACAAAAAAGATACATATTTATAAATTACTTTTCAATAAGATTTTAATTTAATAATAGGACTAGAATTCATGGGCGTAATTTGTAGGAAAAACTGGGGATAAAAATTAAATGGATGAAAAAATTGACAGGAATTTAAGCACCAAGAATTCATGAGAACTAATGTTTGGAAACCTTTAATTAATGTTTCGTCCAGATTGTGGTCCTTATCTTTTACTCCACCTCCTCTACTCTTATCTTCTTTGTTTGTGGTCCCGTTCTTTTCTTTAGCTCTGCTATGCAAAAATCAAACTGAAATCAGTTGGTCAGATTCATTTCTCCGGAGATTTCTGTTTTCAACGTGAATCATATTGTCGCAGGACTTGTGGTCCATTTTCAATATTTTGTTTGCTAGTTTATGTTGGCCTTATTGAGGCCAGCAAAGGGCATCTTCTTAACACAACATATTGGGCTTGTTTAGTTTTTCAGCTTTAGACAATCAAAACACCTTCTTGAGCAGTACAAGTCTTGAAAAGATAGAATTAATGATAGTTAGATTCTGATAATTTTTTAGAAAAAAATAAATTATAAATATTGATTCAAATAGTAATAAAAGAAAGTTCAATTATAAAGTGAAAGTTATATTTATAATTTAAATTTTTTATTTATGATTTAATGCTAATAGAATAATGAGTAATCCATGCATGCCTTGGGGATTTTGTGAAGCTACGATTTGCCAACCGATCAATGTTCATTGTTAACCAGATATAATTTGTTGCAATCATAAAGAAAAGCGAGAAAAAAGAAAAGAAAAGGAAAGTGAATTTATTTATTAATTTGAGATAAATTCATATACTTGATTGGCCTCACAAGTGCATGAAATCGACATAATAATAAATTCATAGTATTTTGAGCTGGACCTGGAAGAAGATAGTGATCTTTGTTATTTAATAAACTAAATAAGGATTTGGTTGGAAAAATATTTAATAATTAAATAAATAAAATAAGAAAAGGGAGAATGACAAATAGGTCTTAAGAAGACTAATTAATTCAAATTAGGTCATAAGTGCTAAACTCTAGGAATTTACAAGTTCACTCTCAATTTGACAATTTCATTGTGATGAATTTATAACTTGTCTTTCAAATTTTAACATGGTTGAAGAATAAAAAAAATTTATTTTTTCTATTAAAATTTGAAACACAAGTTGCAAATTCATTACAATAAAGTTGTAAAATTGAGAATTAAACTTGCAAATTCTTAGAGATTGATGTTGGCGACCTAATTTGTATTAATTGGTTCCCTTGGGACTCTCTATCATTTTCCTATAAGAAAATCGATAAAAGTGATGAACCAACCAATTAGATAAGCACTAGGGATCAAGATTCACCTACCTAGATGAATTATTCTAATTTATTAATTATTTTCCCTTCTTTTACAGTGAAAACCATTTCTAAGGTGTTATAATTACCTTTCAGTATATTAGGATGTATTTAATTAGAGATAAATCTAGCTCTCACTAAATTTCACTCTCTAACTAAACCATAAAGCTACAATTTAAGCCACCACAAACTCCTAAATTACTTCTAATTTATTTATCTATGTTTATCTTTCTAGGTATAGGTAAGTTTTTTACCTTTCAGTTTATCAAGCCACCCACTGACAATCTATATACTACTGGCCACATATATAAAAAGCAATTAAAATGAGAGAGAGATAAATATAAAAGAAAATATAAATTTTATAGACAATTTTTTTTAACAGGAAAAAATTAAAACCAAATAAAAAATAAAATCTATCCCAACCAAGCTACTCCCTACTCTAACTAAGAATTTAAAAAGAACTCATAAAGTTCAAAGTGCAATTCCAAATAAAAGACATAAACAGAATATAAAGAAGAAGAAAAGAGAGATAGCTCCCAACTTAAAAGGCTCAACTGTATTTTATAATATGCCTCTTAGCTTTTAGTTCTTAAATTAGATGTATTGAGAGGTTTTTAGAAGGTTTACTTATAATAAATTTGACCTCTTTAGGCTTAGAATTTGTCCAAATTATGCCTTATCTCTTTAGTTAGTCGGGAATAAGAGTCGAGCCTGGAGGGCTGGGCTTGTAGGCCTTATTTAAATAAGTGTTCGGGCTTTAAAAATTATTTTTTTAAAGGAATCGGGCTTGAGGGCCTTACCCTGATAAGTCCTGTGAAAAAGGGCTTGGGCCCGAGCGACCCTCCAAACCTAATAAGGCTGGTTATTATATATACACACACACACACATACATACATATATTTAATTGATAATGACACAATTTAGTTAATATTTATTGTAGGTGATCAATAAGAAGTTGTAAAGGTAATTGACATTGAATTTTCACCTCCATCTTCAATAAGTACACTTACATTCGAGGGATCTAATGTTTTATTGGTAGATGATGAGGATAAGAAAGATTTGGGTTTTGATTAATGAATGTGTGTTGTTTAGATTTCTAAATATATTGTTTAATTTTTAAAATATTGTATGAATTTTAATTTCTTTAATTTTAAAATATTTTAATTAATTTATAATGTTTAATTTAATTTTATTTTTTTTATTTTTTTTGAACAGGGCTTCCGAGCCTAACCCTGAGCCCTTTACATAAAGGCCGAGCCTCAAAAAGAGATTGAAAATGGATAACTGGGCTCAAGGGCCTAAGCCTTAAAGGGCCAAGCCCATAAAGGCCAGGCCTGCCCGTATTCTTAGCCATAGATCAGAAATGGTATTAGCAAGATCACTTAAAGAATTCCATAGTTGATCACAATAGCAAGGATTAGAATCGCCTTAAATGCAAGAGAAAAGATAAGATATTTTCTTTAAAAGGTAGTAAACTTTGCAGTGTAGAAATTGAGTATCGTAATATATATAATCAACAGTCACCACATCATTATTCTAAAGCAACCAAATACCACCAGCATAACTAGTGGCTTCAATGCGAATCTAGTTTGAGAAACCAAGCTTCATAACAATGTCATCAGCTCTAGTGCTACTAGCTCTAGTTTCAACAAGAATGAGAATTTGAGCATTATATTTATTCATTATTTCCTTTATACGTAAAGGAAAACTTTTGGCACAAGTGCCCTTCAGTTCCAACAAATAATTTCCATAATTAAATAAAAAAAATAAGGTGAGAAAGAACCTAGAACCAATTAAACATTGGATTCATAAATGGAGTCATCACTGAACTCATCATCTTCCACATCTTTATTTATAAGCGTATGATCATAGTCTTCGGAGAGCAGATTATCATCATCACATTTCTCAATAAAATCAGCCTCCTCTATGTCTTCATAACTTCCATAGAGAACAATTTGATTGTTAATTTCAATGCCATTTTCAACATTGAATTGTGTCTCTGGGATGAATTCAGGTGATATGTTTGGGTCTAGAGGTTTATTATGATTATGGATAGAAGAGTGATCAATGTTGGAGTCTGTAGAATTGTTTATAATTGAGTTTGTAGTATTGCGTTGATTCTAAACGTTTGCATTAGGCATATACAAATTTATGGCTTCATTTACGTTCTTGGACCTCAAGTTGGAGTTAACGTTCTTGCACTTTTGAATAGGGCCCAGATCATGTTTGTTTCCTTTCACCACATGATGGCTACGCTTAATGGACTTGCTTGCAACATAATTGCGCTAATCCACATTATTTGTCATAAAGGTTTTGTCTAGCGTGTGTGGGCCTCCCCAATTAAAGCTCGGCCCAGACGAAATTTCTTATTCCCTTTGCCCGCTTCGTCTGATATTCCTTTTGCTTCATCTACTTCTTCATGTGCATTGGCCCTTGCTCATTTAGTACCCAATAAATCTTTCTTCCTTCATACTTGTCTAACAGGTTTTGGCTTAGGCAAATTCTTAGGTGTAAGGTTGTGTTTTTTAAGCATTCTGTGTCCTTTACCGCCTTCACAGACCCGGTCAAGATTAGCTAAAAGATCAAATCTAAATTTGGTAGAGAAAGCTGTACCTTGATTTGTGGTTTGGGCGTGATTTTTCTGGGCAATCGTTGAACTCAGAGCAAATCTCGAGTTTCAGAAATGGTGTGGCTGCGGAACCTTAATCCATTCGCTGCAGTCCTCTTTCGGTATGCGTTGCTGGTGATTAATCAATGAATCTATTAATAAATGTTCATGTGGAATTTGTTGCTCATCTTTCGAATTTAAATGTTGGTGCTGCTTAGGATTTTTTGGGTTTTATCCTATTTCCCCTGTCGTACTTTCTAGGATTTTAGGAACAAAAGGGCAGCTTCCCTTATTGTGCCCATAATAGCCACATCCAAAGCAAAATAGATTTAGGCTTTCGTATTCGACCTTATATAATTCATCTCTAAGGAGAAGTCTTGGAACCAGTTTCTTTTGTAGATCAATTTCGACGCTAATATTAGCAAATATGCCCTTTTCTGTTTTACTTGTAGCATCTTTCATCTCTGCCTCTGATAAGGTGTTAGTGTCAACCTCGAGGGTTCTACCAATACAATTTTCCATTCTCCAGAGTATTTCTTTATCATAGCATTGTATGGGAATATTGGATAATCTGACCCATAGAGCAACTTTTCCCAGGGAATTAGTGTTTGGATTGAACTGGGGGTTCCACCTCTGAATAAGAATATACAGTGGTTGAAGATTGTCCAAGGTCCACCATTGAGAATCATCTCATATGGCTCTATATTAGTTGTGTGTACAATGTAATAGTTGTTAATTAAATCAATCAGCTCAAAGTTCTTTAGATTCCATATTTTTGTTAGTCTGGGCTTGAGGGATTTAGGGGGTATATATATTCCCAGAGTGTTTATAACTAGTGCATTCATCCAAGGGAGGCAAATAGATTTCTATTCTTGATCAGAGATAGGCACCATTGGGAATCTCTCCATAAGCTTTATGATTGTTTCAAAAGGAGACTATTTCCCCTCTAGTTCTTTGGCAAGAGTTTCATTGATGTATTTTGTATCCCTGGCTTCGTTGATTCCAAAATAGCCATTATATCCAATGAGAGAATCTTTGTATGATATAAGAGCTTTGAAGGCTTTGATTCCTTTTATCATATTCTCTTTTCTTGCATTTGCATTTTGAGTGTTATTCCCTTGAGTATCCAGTGGATGAGTAGAATTATCAGGAGCTTCTTTTCTTGTGGGTTGTTTTTCATAGAGTTGATTTGGTGACTGAAGATTCTGTGTGCTATCTTGTTCCTTGTCCACCATAACTTCATCTATCTTCATGACATTCCTTTTAAGCAAGTCAACTTCTTCTTTTGAAGTAGGAGGATCCAGATCTTCATCAATTCTGATTGGAGCAGAAGCAGAGAAGACGAACTTGCTGTCCAGAGCTTTTTTTTTTTTTTTTTGGAGAATCCATTCCCATCGTTCTTTTCAAGTACAGGTCTCTTCTTTTTTTTTTTTTTTTCACAGTGTTCCTTTCTTTCTATTTACTGAAGTTTTTGTTTGGCCCTGTATGCTATGCTTTGCTTACCGCTTCGACCAGCAGAAGCATCAATTAAGCAAGTCCATTCAGATTTTGCCATATAAGCCCAAAAGACATTATAGGTCCAACATCAATTTAATTTGCAAATAATTCATGATTTCATCAGGAGTTAGTTTCAATGTTATTTAAAATTTAATTTGAATTGATTTATTTCTTTTGTTCATTCTACGACATAGTTGAATATGGCTTCATCTTTTAAATTTCTTGAATTTATAGCTGTTAAATGTAAAATCCAATAGTTACTTTTTTATAATTATACAGAGCCTCAGAAAATTATACAAAACACTAAAATATTTGAATGAACTACCTGTAAAATAACCATAATTAGCGTCTCTGACACATAAAACCAGTTAGTAAACTAGTTGAGATATTGGTTTAAGGGATAATCGTATGAATAGTGTAACCATAATTGAACTGGTAGTAGTTAACTTACTATATACTCTTTTGTTTCTATATATAAGAAACGAACCAACTCACAATTTAAGAAAGTTGATTGAGTATAATAATTATGTTTAAAAATGTAAAACCAGGACTAAATTATTCATGTAATTAATAAAACAAATTGGTCTAGTAAAAATAAGCATTGACTTCAAATGAGGGATTATTTGGGAAAAATATAATAAATGTTTCTTGAAACTTGTAATTTTGCTTATAAATAAAAAACAAAGAGAAACATGGTAGTTTCTCTTATATTCAAAAAAGGAGAAGTACATATTTAATTATATATTAATTTTTAAAAGTAATAATATCAAATGTAATTATAAAATATAAATTTTAAACAATATGAAGATTATTACAAATAAATATTAATAAAGTTAATTGTTTAAAATTGATGTGAGTAGTAAAGATTCTCGTCATTTAAGCAAATAGTTGAGAGTTCAAATCCTAACTTTTATATATGTAATAACTTAGTTATGAGGGGTTTACCCTTTGCCCTTAGTACTTTAAGAGAAATAATATCTGTAGTCAGGAAAGCTTACTTCTTGTATATATATACAAAATACTATCAAAAATAAAGATCAACGAGTTAAAATAAAGGAAACAAAAATTATTTTTAAGTAAAAGATGTCACAAATGTACATCAAAAACAATCCAATCACAATCCATTAGGGATGAATTTCTTGAATTAAGTGCAATGAGATTAATCTTTAGTGTTTAGATACTAATATCTAAACTTGGACCTGGCTCAATACATATCAAGTGATTAATATTTAGTGCCTAGAGGTCGATATCCTAACACGGTCCTGGCTCAGTGTATATAGCAAGGGAGCCCTTACCTAGATTGCGATATTTAAACATGGTAAGCTTAATCTTGTTGAGTTTACAGTAGCAAGTGAAGCTCTACATGACTTATAGTATTTAAACATAGTAAGTTTAACCTTTTTAAGTTTAATTGAGGATCTCATTCACGAACGGTATTGAAGCCCAACATTTTCAATGAGAAAGGAAACAAATATTAGTACTGGCAAACAAGAAGAAAAATCTTATAATCATGAGTGAAACACTTAGATCACGTTTGTTTACTAAAATAGAATGGAATGAAATGGATTGAAAAAATAAAGGTAAAAATAAAACTATCAAAAGAGATAGGTGAACACATTTATAAGGAAGAAAGGTAATTTAATTTATGGAGTTGGGAATCATGATTCATAAAATTTTTGAAAAATATGGTGATTCCCACATTTATAGTATATATTAATGAGTTTTATCATACTTATCATGAGGAGAGAAGGTAATTGAGTTCATTTTTGTTTTGATTTTTTCAATTCATTCCATTCCATTATATTCTAGTAAGCAAACATGACCTTACCTCCTTACTTATCACATCTAACCTAGTTAGACTCTTCTTTTTCCCTTACTCTGAGCCAACTTCCTTCTTTATCAAAAGAACCATTGTCAAAAAATTGAAAACTTGGTTGAGATTTCACATATTCTTGAAGATGATCAAAGTTAAAACATAAACCTTCCTCTTCTTAGCCCATAAAATGTTTATCGTTGAGATGTTTGTTTTACTAGAATCATCCCATCTTTGATTTCTACCAAAAGACCTTAGTGTCACGTTCCCGTGACATTAGGCTAAAGAAGTTGTTCAAACTTTCATTCTTTTGAGCTTGATGTCACGCCCCAAACAATAACATGATTGGCACGGGATATATGCACAAACACACATCCCTAGAGCTTCGATTGAAGAAAGTTCTGAATTAATACATCTGACTCACTATCAGCCTAATTAGATATACCTAATTTTAGTTTTCACATAATCAAAATATCAAATTTTTTATAAAATTTTAGTAGCACCTCCCCTATAAGCAGGATCTCTCAAAATCTCTACAAAAAAAATTTTACAATTTATACTCAGCAATACAAAGTTTTACTCCTTAGCAACATATAGACAATATATCAAAGAAAATCAAGACCCTAACTATAGTCAATGTACAGCATCCTATACCTTATTTATAATATATAAATTTTAGAATTTACATAAAAAGGAAGATATTATAAAAAAAAATTGATCTTCTAGTCAATTCAACGATGAGTCGGTCAAAGGTTAGCTAGAGGTACCGTGTCACCCATGTTATCTGATACCAAACAAAATATTTTTTAGTAAATAATATCTCAACCTTAATATTTAAAAGCATAAAAATGAATAATTTGCAATAGTTATGGAAATTAAAGAGAAAACAAATCAGTATAATAAAATTTGTAAACTTGAAATAAAAAATTTCTATACAACTTCAATATCATGAACCTTTAGATCTTTATAACAAAATAAATTAACATATAATCTTGACAAGACAAATAGATTAAATAAATAAATAACATTTATAATTTAAAAACCTTTATAATATCAAATCAATTAATTAAAAATTTATATTGGGAATTTATCAGAACAATTTACAAATGTAGACACATAGTCTATGAGAGTAAATAACCAAACATAGCCTAAGTTACGAAAATAAATATGGACACACAATGGACAAAAATAATACTAACCAAATATGGTTCAAAGCCATGAAAACAAATGCAGGTATTTAAACCTATGAATAACAAATGTGAGAATAGAGCTCATGAAAATAAAACAGCTAGTCATTGACTATGGTGTGCTAAAGGTTAATGGAATTGTCATTAGTTTACCAGTGTTCTGTGTAAAATTCTTTTCAAATTCATTTTCAAACATGTGAGAAAATCATTATTATAAAAATACAGTTTCTATTTTCAAAGCCAAACTCTCATGAATAGCATTGGCATTAAAACCTTGCCAAATAAAATTTCATAACTGAAGTCCATGTTTGACATTTATTGCATAGCCTAAAATAAACTAAAGTTGATAAAAATAATCTCATCAATTTTGAAAGTGTTCTTCATAAGGAAAAACACATACACATGTCATAATCCAAATATCTTCCAACATCTACCTATAATTTTCCAAGATAAAAGTAATCTAACAAAGCATTAAATATGTAATATAATTGTCATCGAATGTTCTATGTAAAAAAGTTTTTTAATAAATCAGTTGAGACGCTATCTACTTACTTGAAATTCCCAAAAGTCAAGAATTCATCTCCCAATGTCAATTAAATTTCTCATCCTCCAAATCCCCTCCCTTAACATTGGCATGTACAAGGAAGAAGGGACAATGGTGGGTGCAGGGGAAGAGTGACAGGTAACAAAATGAACCTTCCACAGCCACTAATCAACTCCCACTATACAATACTAGCAGGAGAGGTGTAATGACCCTAAATTTTAAATTAAATAAAAATTGTTCCTAATGAATATTTTATTTAAATAAGTTTTATAGTAATTAGAAAGAGGTAGTTTATAGAAATTATGCTAGAAATTTTCGTAAGGATCTAAAGTCCAAATTTTCTAAGGAGAAGTTTGGTTTCAAAATATAAAAAAAATTGGTGCCCTTTCCTATAATTCTCTTGTGTTTTTTATCGTGATTTTCTTATGCTCTTTTTTTTATAATTTTTCCCATTGCTTCTATTGTTCTAATTCAGTTTGCTCACGTGAAAAAACAAAATAGAGCATCGTGATTTTTTCCCACCGCCTTTATACACTTCTCTAGATCCTCATATAGTCATTTATTTCCCCAATCCTTACCAACAAACTTTGCTTGCTGTCACTATGAATTCACATGCTGCTACTGCTCCATATACTTGTCCTCGTCACTCTCGCTTGTCAGCGATAGTGAAGCAAAGTTGCTGATTTCGCTTTCCCTATCATTGGCTGTTCATTCGTCCTATGCTCTGAGCCGTTTGTTCATCTTTGTCATGTGGAGTCTCTAACAACTTCTTCCCCATTTCTGCTCTGTTTTTGTGGCAAACGAAGGTGTGTGCACGCTTACTCATTTTTTCTCTCTTTTTCTTCTTCATCAGCTATTGAAAGTTCATGTGTGTGTGTGTGTGTCTGGTAGATCAACTATGTATGTTGTTGGCTGGATTTTGGTCTCTTTCCTTCTTGGGTGCGTGAAAACTTGAAGTTCTTCTTTGTTTCTTCTTTACTGTCACTCTTGTTTTCTGTCCAGGTTTGCCTTCTGTGTACATGTATATGTGTGTATTTAGTTTCACTTATTTTGTTTCTCAAGAGCTGAGCGTCCTGCATATGTGTATGTAAGCTTAAATCTTTTCCTTTCTTGACCACGATAGCTGGTCTTCTTCCTTGTCATCCGAGCTATAGAATAGAGTATTTTTTCTCTTTCTTTCCTCTTCAACATCAACTACATAATGGTTTTAAGCTGTCACCACTTGTACTTTGGGTTGAAGTACATCATTAATCCTCTCTTCTTCAAGTGCAACATTAGCAAAAAAAAATCTCTTCCTTTTCCAATCGGTGGATGGAGTCCTGTTCTATATTCTTGGTGTGTTACTTTTAGTTAGGATTAAAGTATTGCTTTTGGTTGGGGCTAGAAATCTTTTGGTTTTGTTGAGTTGAGATAAAATTAAAATAAATAAATACATAAATAAAAATAAATAGAAGCTTGGAAATTGTTAGAATTTTTTGGTTATTCATTCATAATTTTTTTTCAATAATACATGTATGACCTCAAGGTAATTGTAGAAATGTATGAGAAAAAATTTTGGTGAATTATGGTGTGCTAAGAT